CCCCACCCCTGCCCATCTCACCCTATTTCTGCCCATCTCACCCCACCCCGCCTGTCTCACCCTTATCCTTGCCTGACTTGCCCCACCCCTGCCCATCTCACCCCACCCCTGTCCATGTTCCCTGAGATGAGTGTGTTGTATAGAGCCAGTAAGCAAGTAAACACACAGGCCTTCATCTTAAAGAGCTCTTCTTCCAAGGGAGGGGTGGGGTGCAGACACAGTTGAAGGGTTTGAAGTTAATCTGTTACTGTGAGTTTTTGTTTTTGTTTTTGTTTTTTTGAGTTGACGTCTCACTCTGTGGCCCAGGCTAAAGTGCAGTCCTTCTGCCTCAGCCTTCCAAGTAGCTGGAACTACAGGCATATGCCACCAAGCCCTGCTAATTTCTGATTTATTGTAGAGATGAGGTCTCGCCAAGTTGCCCAGGCTGGTCTCAAACCCATGGGCTCAGGCAGTCCTCCCAAAGTGCTGGGATTATGGCATGAGCCACTTCGCCCAGCCCTACTGTGGTTTTTTAAAATAGTGTTTTGTAATTTTTTATCATGTTCTCCATGAATTTTGGTTGCAGTCTTCTTTGAAAACATTCACCACAAAATGTTTTTCTGAAGATTGTTTTTCAGCAAGGGACAACAAAGCTGAGTGTGGAGAAGACCAAGACTTCCATCACGAGCGACGTGGGCATGCAGTTCTTCGACCCGAGGACTCAAAACATCCTGTTCAGCACTGACTACGAGACACATGAGTTCCATCTGCCCAGTGGGGTGAAGAGCCTGAATGTCCAGAAAGCATCCACGGAGAGGGTACGGTCTGTTCTCAGCTTCCCTAGGGGAATTATCATATCAAGCTGTGAAGTTACTGTTTATGGTAGGGTGGGAACTGATGTTCCAAAACATTGGAGGGGTCAGTTCTGGAGAGTCAACCAGCTCACACCATCGTCATCAGGCCCCCTCTCTCTGCCTCAGTGTCCACATTTGTAAAACATAAATGAAACACTGGCTTTTCCTGTCTCTGACTGAAACTCCAATTTCTCCATCTCTGATCATTCCACGTTAATCTAGAACCCCTTTTCAGTACCTTTTTAAAAACATTTTCAGATCACCAGCAATGCCACCAGTGATCTGAATATAAAAGTTGACGGGCGTGCCATCGTGCGTGGAAATGAAGGTGTCTTCATTATGGGCAAAACCATCGAATTTCACATGGGTGGCGACTTGGAGCTAAAGGCTGTGAGTATTTTTTTTTAAACAAGTTTAAGAGAATGACCAGGCTTTTGGATATATCAATCCACATGTGGAATAGTGTGCAGTAATTGTATATTTTAGGGAATATACAATGGAAAGATGCTCAGGATGGATTGTAAACTGAAAGTTACAGAACAATCTGTGAACTGTGTCATTCCTGTTTTTCAGAACATATGTGTGTATCAAAACCTAGAAGGACATGCCAAAATGTCAACAGTATTTAGCTGCGAATAGCAGGATGACAGACAATTTTATATTATTTTTATTCTTTTGGCATGTGTTTTCTATATTCAGGGAGTGTATATAGCAGTCACTTGAATTATTTTAGAAGTCAGAGAAAAAATAAAAAAACCAAACCTTCCAAAAGAGAATTCTGGCAGATCAAAGTAAGTATTCATGCCCTGAAGTTGTTGATTTTAATTAAAGGTTTTTCACATCCCTTCCTGAGTTTTATATCCAGTGATAATTGAATAAAATAGCAAATGGATGAATTTTTTATTCAGACATTTTTATTAAAGATACATTTTTAATTTTATTAATTGTAAAGGGGAATGGTTATTATCTTTATTGTTGCTGTTGAAAGTGAAATTTCCTTTGTGCTTCACAGATTAAATCTGAACTTTAACAGGCATCATATTTCATGTAAGGAAGCCGTAGGTTCAAAGTTTTCCTGAATCATAATTCTGGTCAGAGCATGTTTATTCAAAATGCCTTGGGTACCTATAATACACTGTTTAACTAAAGCTAATTAAATTTGCCTTACCAAGCATTACACGACAAAAAGTGAGTCTACGGACTTATAAATAATGTTTTCGTTTTTTAAAAAATTTAATTTCACAGTTCTTAGGAAAAAACTTCAAGAAGTGTGCGTTTCACTTTCATAAACAACTTTTCCCCTAACATGCATAATCTCATCTCTAGATAATCAAGATGAGCATAACATGTAACTCCTGCCAGAACTCAGTGGCAGACTGAGTGATCTTCACAGATGTCATAGTCAGCGGCTGCTCCGATTCCCACTGAATGTCACAGGAGCACAGGATGTGCGAGTTTTGTAGAGACTGTTAGCAAGTCACCTAAAGCTCTCATCTTCTCTACCTGCAAATTCTTGTCCCATTCTACCTCCTTGTTAACATGACAAATGCTAAAATACTTTGAAATGTACATACACATGTAACAGTTTCTTCCCAGGTGAAGGAAGAGAAACCAATATTGGAAGAGACTATTAGCTTTCTAATTCAGTGTCTGTCATGGTTAAAGTGTAGAAGCTAATCAAGAGAAAGAATTTTATCATTTAAACTGCTGTTTTGAAAAAGCTGTTCAGGAAACAATTTAAAGAGAGTAAAGTTAGATGACCACAAGATGGCAGCATGGGAACAAAATTGGGAAACTCGTCCCTTAATCATGACTGTTCCCAAGCATGACCACCACATAATGTTAGCCATCCCATTATTTTCTGGTCAGCCTCTGCCTTTGCTTTAAATGTCCTCGAAAAACTGACTGCTTTAACTCTCCCTGAGCTAAGACTCACACGACAGCACGGGCTTGCCATCTCCACCTGTCTGAAAGGATCCCGCATTGAACAAGCTGATGGTCTGGGTGCTCCTCACATGTTTCAGCCTTCCCATCCTGTGAATGCTGACCCCTCAGTCCCCACCAAGACCTCCGACCCCCTGTAGAGGTGCACAGTTCCGCTGCTTCTCTCCACCTCTGCCATCACGCTGTCATCCCCTGCCTGGATGGCGGACACAGTCCCTAGATGGCCTTCCTGGTTCCTGCTCCCACCCCTAGTCACCTCTCCCCAGCAGTAGGGCAGTCCTTTCTAGGTCATGTCACATCTTAGAGGCTGCCAGAGGGCCTCCCGTCCAACCTGGAGTGAAAGCTGCAGCCTATGCCCAGCCTCCTCCTGCCGGCTGCCCACTTATCCTCTGGGCTCCCCCATGCTGGCCTCCTGGCCATCCCCAGGACACCAGGCTTATCTCCCTGGGCCTGGCATGTGCTGGAATGTCCTCCCGTCACCTGCAGACCCCCCCTCACTCTGTCCAGCTGCGGCTGGGAGATGACCTAATCAGAGAGGTCTCACTGAGTGCCCATGGGAGATGTCCCCACTGGCCATCCTTCCTGTGTGCCTGCCCTGGTTCTCTTGGAGTGCTCATCCCACCTGACATCCTGTGTCTCACTGATCATCTGCCCATGGTCTGCCCCACCCCCTGAAACATCAGCCCTAGGAAAACTTGGACTTCGTCTGTTTTATTCAGCACCTGGCATAGAGCCTGGCACATAGTAGGTGCTTAATAATCATTTGTTGAGTGAATGTGAGGCAGAAAGTGGGAGAGGGAGGAAGAAAGGGAAAAAGGCCCGGAAGTCCCCATAAAAGGGTTTTAAGGACCAAAGTACAGGCTTGTTTCTGGAACCAGGTGCTTGAGGTAAAGACCTTCAGGCCATCTCCTCCATGTGCCTGGCCTTCAGAAGTTCACAGCTTGAATCTTTGTCTGTGGAGTTACAGACATTTAATTGGAGATTAAAATGAATTCCCTCGGCCAGACACCAGGGTGGTTCATGCCTGTAATCCCAGCACTTTGGGAGGCGGAGGTGAGGGGATTGCCTGAGCCCACAGATTTGAGACCAGTCTGAGCAATAAGGCAGGACCTCATCTCTACAATAAATCAAAAAATTAGCTGGGCACAGTGGCACACACCTGTAGTTTCAACTACTTGGAAGGTTGAGGTGAAAGGATCACCTGAATCCAGAAGGTCGAGGCTGCAGTGGCCTTGAGCGTGCCACTGCACTCCAGCCTGGGTGACAGAGTGAGACTCTGCCCCCCCCAAAATAAAATAAAGTGGATTCTCTCTGGGAGAAAATGCCTTTTTCCTCCTCTTCCTCATGAATGTATCAACCAGTCACTTTGCTGGTTCCTTTGGACTAAGGACATGGCAAATGAGAGTATCCTGCAGGTTGTCAGCATCATGCACTTAGCAATTTTGATGTAACTTAACAAACAGTTGGGAAGTTGATTCTGTTGCAAGTTTGCTTACATGGGCCTGGACTGAAGAGCTGAGGTATCCCCTGCAGAACCATGATGTTGGTTTTGCTTTCTGTTGTTGCCGTTGCCTTGGTCATGACTTTTCTAATTGCGTCTTTTCCTGTTGATGTTTCAGTGAGTTTTGTAGTTGACTTGGTTCTGCGCCCTCTCGTGGAGGTAAAGCAACCATGTTGTTCTCTTCTTACAGGAAAGCAGCATCATCCTGAATGGAACGGTGATGGTCAGCACGTCGCGGCTGCCCAGCTCCTCGGCCGGGGACCCATTGGGCAGTAGCGCCTGGCTACGCTACAAGCTCTGCATGTGTGCCGACGGGACCCTCTTCAAGGTGCAGGTCACCGGCCCCAACATGGGCTGCCAGACCTCCGACAACCCCTGTGGGAACACACGCTAGGGCTAAGGTCGCCCACCGGGAGCACGGCTTGACTTCTCTGAGAGGATGCATGCCAGCTGTGTGGCACGGAGTGGGGTGAGCTTGCTGTGTTCACCTGTGGAGCCAGCACTGCAGTGTCTGGGGTGTCGCCTCTAGGCTGAGAGTCTCTGAGAGCCCACGTTTAATACACTTGACTAAGTTGCACTGTGCTCCACATGACTGTTCTCTAATAATCATGAGCGTGAATCAAACCAAAAGTGATCTTCCCAGGGTTTTTTTTTTTTTTTTTTTTTTTGAGTTGAAGTCACCCTATCACCCAGGCTGGAGTGCAGTGGCACACTCACGGCTACTGCAGCCTCGACCTGTGGGGCTCAGGCAGTCCTTCCATCTCAGCCTTCCAAGTAGTTGGAACTACAGGTATACGCTACCATGCCCATCTAATTTTTTTATTTATTGTAGAGACAAGGTCTCACCAAGTTGCCTAGGCTGATCTCGAACACCTGGACTCAGGCAATCCTCTTACTTCGGCCTCCCAAAATGCTGGGATTACAGGCTTGAGCCACTGTGCCCAGCCTTCCCAGAGGTTTTAAAATTTCATTGTCCCTTCTGAAAGCTAGAGGGCTGAAACTGCTGCTTAGGCTCGCCGAAAGGCACTCTTGGTGGCACGTGAGGGTGGACCACTCAGGACCTTTAAAAGGACATGCTTCCTACTCTGCCTCTGGGCTTCTGAGGAGAAACAGGTATCTAGCCATGACCTTGAGCCTGTGCTCACATGCACATGGAGTCGTTGACATGCTCTGCACACGTGAGGCACAACAGCAACTCCTTAGTCTTGCTCTAGTAAGAAAATACTTTGTGCTGGGCTCAGTGACTCAGCCTGTAATCCCGCGCTTTGGGAGGCTGAAGTGAGTGGATTGCCTGAGCCTGCGGGTTCGAGACCCACCTGGGCAACTTGGCGAGACTTCATCTCTACAATAAATCAAAAACTAGCTGGGTGTGGTAGCTTGTGCCTGTAATTCCAGCTACTCGGAAGGCTGAGGCAAGAGGATCGCTGGAGCCCAGCAGGTCGAGGCTGCGGTGACTGGGAGTGGCCACTGCACTCCAGTCTGGGTGACAGAGTGAGACTCCAACTCAAAAAAAAGAAAATACTTTGTAGTCGAATGTTTGCTTGAAATCGTGATAAGCGTGGAGTGTTCACTGTGAGGAGGATGGAACCACAGGCCACTGCAGCTTTTAGAGCACATGGCTGACTCCGTTAGCCCCTTGCGCAATCCTGGCTTTGTGGGTGGCGGTGCGTGGCTCATGTCTCCCATTCCCACCACAGCTCTGGAGGCAGGGGTTGTTATCCCAGGTCTGCCCTTTAGGAGACTAAGGATCAGAGACATTAAGAAACTTGCCCAGCCAGGCTTGGTGGCTCAGTCTATAATCCCGCGCCGTTGGGAGGCTGAGGTGAATGGATTGCCTGAGCCCGCGGGTTCAAGACCCACCTGGGCAGCGAGACCTCATCTCTACAATAAATCAAAAAATCAGCCTGGCGTGGTAGCGCATGCCTGTAATTCTGGCTACTTGGAAGGCTGAGGAGGAAAGATCACTGGAGCCCAGCAGGTCGAGGCTGCAGTGGCCGGGAGCGGCCACTGTACTCCAGTCTGGGTGACAGAGTGAGACTCCAACTGAAAAAAAAAAAAAAGAAACTTGCCTAACATCACAGTACATAGCAGTCTTGGGACTGGAATTCAGAATGAATCCAGCCTGAATTCTAAATGCCATGTTCTTTTTGCTATCTGCACTGAATTTTCAGATATTTAAAACTCCAAAAAGATGAACAAAGATGAATTCAGACTTACTTAAAAAGATAAGAATCAGTTGGGCTCAGTGACTCAGTCTAATCCCTGCAATTTGGGAGACTGAGGCAAGTGGATTGCCTGAGCCTGTGGGTTCGAGACCAGCCCAGGCAACTTGGTGAGACTTCGTCTCTACAGTAAATAAAAAATTAGCCAGGTGTTGTAGCACACACTTGTAATTATAGCTACTTAGAAAGCTGAGGCAGAAGGATTGCCGGAGCCCAGCAGGTTGACACTGGGGTGGCCGTGAGCATGCCACTGTACTCCAGCCTGGGCAACAGAGTGAGACTCCAATCCCCCCCCCAAAAGATAAGAATCAAGCCATACAGGTATGCTTACTCTAAAAGAAAATAAATAAATCTCATGTCAGAAAAGAGAAGGACCAACCACGGTCATATTTTAAACTCTTAGGCCAGTTCCAATGCATTATGCTACAGAGAAGTCACCGTGACCTACTGTGGGTCCATGGGCCCATCCCACCAATGGTCCCTCACGCTGCAGCACCCAACGTGTGACGGGCCAAGGTCTCTGCTCCTTCAACCCTCGGGGCAGTAAGCCAGGAGGCCCTGAAAAGCCATGGGCCAGGACAGTCTGATGGGTTTACCACAGTGGCCACATGGGTACCACCCTTGTCGATGGCGCCATGCCCTGAAAGCAGGCCAGAAGCACTGGATAACGAGTGCTAGGCAGGCGACCATGCAAGGAATTATTAGGGATGTGAAGATTGGTCATTGCTCCTGGTGCTGTTGTCCCGTTGTGATTGTCACAACCCCTGCCAGGTGGTTGTATTTGGAAGGAGCTCTCTGGTATTATTAAGACACATAAGAGCAGGGACAGGGACCCCAAAGACATTTGCTGTGAAACAGGTCGTGCAGGTGATACATAGGCTCACCTGGCAGTCAGGTGTACCCACATTCTGTCAGGGTCAGTACAAAAAAAAATCTGTATTCAGTACTGTCATGGTTCTGTCTGATAGAACAAGATTATGAAGTCATTAAATTATACAGAAACAGAAACTGACTGCCTAACACTGCAATTTTTAAATAAAAGAGAGATTTATTAATTGTAGTGATATTTGAGCCCTTTTGCAACATTTAGTACCATTTCCTATTAGAATGATATTCAGAAAAAGATGACAGGAGCTTTTGTTCAGATGGTCAATACATTAAACATTCGGTACCTGCCTGCTCTATTTAGATTTGTTTTAAAAGTTTCTTTAAATAAGTATTTTAACAAAGACCACAGAACACTATATACAAAGTATGGTTTATTGTGCGTAGTCCATCACATAATCTATTTTTATACCTCTTTGGGAAATTTTTGTGCTTTGGATGCATCTCCACTAAGTGTATTTGACAGAAGATGTTTTGATATTTTTATAGAGCTGATACTGTCAGGTATGGTGTTTCAGGGCATTTTATGGGCAGACTTTATGTTTTCACTGAAATGTGTACTCAGAAAATCCATCAGGAAGCAGAACAGGAACCGCCCGTCCCTCTTACCTGCGGTTTATTTTACCCACAGGGAAGTTTCAGCAGCTTATTCTTGCTGCCAAGGTGTATGTTCTGTGAGCTGAGTTGCTGCCTTGGCACCTTCCTGCTGCTTGGTCATCCCTGTGCTGAGACCAATATGCCCGGTCACCTTGGGGATTGGCACAGATGCATGCTAGCTTAAGTAGCCACAACACTCTAGAGGTGGGTTGCAGCGATCAGGGACAGAGGAAGTCATCACCAGGTTTCTTAGAAACTAAAAGGCAGAAAGGAAAGTGCAAAACAACATGGGGGCTGCCGAACACAGTCTGCAGTGTTAAAATATACTCATCTGCATTCATTTTGCATTGTGAAAAATCCTATTTTGTGTGATAGTTTTAATGATGAAAAGTGGGAGTTTCTACCTAGTTTTCTTTTTTCTCTTTTTTTTTGAGTTGGAGTCTCACTCTGTCGCCCAGACTGGAGTGCAGTGGCTGCTCCCGGCCACCGCAACCTCCACCTGCTGGGCTCCGGTGATCCTTCTGCCTCAGCCTTCCAAGTAGCCGGAATTACAGGCATGCGCTACCACGCCCGGCTGATTTTTTGATTTATTGTAGAGATGAGGTCTCGCTGCCCAGGCAGTTCTCGAACCCGCGGGCTCAGGCAATCCACTCACCTCAGCCTCCCAAAGGCGCAGGATTACAGGCTGAGCCACCAAGCCCGGCTTCTACCTAGTTTTCAATGAATGTGTTTTAAGGGGATAAGAATATTAAGGTGCTACACTTGACAAAGAAGAGACCATTGAAATGCTTAAAAGTTTAGTAATCTTTTAAAAGTGTTGAGAAAGGAAGATTGCAAATTATGCCATACAAAAATACACCTTTAAATCTGTTTCAGATTGCTAACTCGAGTTTCAGTTCTTTCAGTTTGTAATAACTATTAATGACCTCTGTTTACAATAAAAGTTCTGTAAACCATTGACTGTTGAATTTTCAGTGATTATATACTAAAGAGTTTGTACTTAATCATGTGGACATGAGGGATTTAAATATAGCTGGAGCGTGGGACCCCATCAGTACTGATGTGGTCACTTTGGAACCTCAGAACTCAAGGTTAGAAGCTTGCCATTCCCAGTCTGGAAGGTGCTTCCTGCACTACAGAGGTCTCTCTCCAGTCGCTGGCCCTTCTCCATGTCCCCGGGGAATATGCACACATCACCTTGGCAAGAAGCCAGGGCCCAGCAGTGCAGGGGTGCATGCTGGCCATGGGGCAGCAGGGTAGCAGGATGGGTGGAGCCCAGAGGCTCAGAGCTCAAGTCCCCACCCAGCTGGATCCAGTTTAAACCCATCTGAAATAGACCTGGAGGTGTGGTGTGCTGCTCCCTGCATCTTGTCTTCCCCAAGGTCTCTGCTGCTGCTACCTCAGCACCTTCCTGCTGTTTGGTCATCCCTCAGTTTTGCCGCTGCCTCTTCCTTGTGTGTACAAGGGACTTATTTCCGTTCTGCTGCTTTTTCTCTGCTGCCTGTCCCAGTCTCGCTCACTGACACGCACACCTCCGCCTTTCTACCTGCTATTCATGCTTTGGGTGGACCGTGTCCATTTGGGGATTCATATTTGACCTGTTTCCGATGTCCTCGGCACCATCTTGTGGCGTTCTCAGCGGCTCCTTACCTAACACATAGACACTGGTATGTAGTACAAAAATAATTGTTTTGTTTTCAAATTAATCTCTTTCACTTTAAGATTATTTTTGTCTAACTGCTTTGAACTCAAAACCATTAGTTAATGAATACATCTCTTCCATTTAAAAAGAGCCAGGCGATAAAAATATTTAGTTTGTGTCCCCTTAAGACATAAATGCCACAAAAACACCCACGCTGCAAAGTAGCATGCCTGTGAATGAGGACTGAGTGTTTTTGTTGCTGATGTTCCATTAGCTT